GCAGGGGTAGCCTTCTCCTTCCTCTCTGCCTTGAACTCACTCTTGCTCTTCGGCAACTGCCATAACTGATGGCGGGTTTTTGCTGGATTTTTTTTCTCATTTAATAGACTGAGCCCCTTGTCATCATTTTTAAAGCTCCAATCCTTAGCCTGGCATGTAGTAGTAGCTGTTCAATAAATTCTCAGACGTTGGAATTAAAAGACAGATAGAACAAAAAGACCATCTTAATTCTTTTCAGATTGAATCCGATGTGGAAACTGTCAGCAAGTGAGCCATGCTACTTGCATTCTGAAATCCCCATTATTCTTCCAACAGCGTGCAGGCACTCACAGTATCTCACCACGTCATTGTCACGATGTGAGATGTTAGAGAAAGCACCGAGGGACTCCAAAAGCTGGGCATTGTGAAGGATTATCATTCCAATTCCAAGAGCTAGCCTCACATCATTCTTCTAGGAAGCATCGGTTCCAGGTGCCATTGTGAAGATGGCCCAGCATGCAGGCACGAGGGGTGTGGGGTGTGCTTCTCTCCCTGAGTAGCTTTTGTTTCACCTCGCAAATTAATCTCTTGTTCCCTGCTCCTTGCCACACAGCAGAGGTGGGTCTTATTCATCTCTGTATTCCTACAGAGCCTGGCACAGTGCCTGGCACTCCGGAGGAGCCCAGCAGGGACTTAAGGGAATGGAAAGAAATCTGTTTCTCCTCCTTCATGGCTGACGTCATTAGTGTCTCGAATGCTAAAAATCTCATTGCTGGAAGTTTCCTGCTGAGACAGGCTGGAGTAAGGAAGCTGTTCAGGGGAGAGTTCTCTTCTTTCCCCCTCCAATCCTGGATTTTGAAAGGGTCTTGTTACAGTTCACACAGCCAAATCCTATCCACAAGTCAAGGTTAATTGCCAGTGTTCAAGCTCCTGAAATGTTTTCCTAATTCCAATGGTCAGGAAATCACCTTTCCATTAAAAACTCCCAGGCACACCCCATGTGTGACTCTCATACAACCTGCACATAAAAATCTATCGTACTGTACAGGACTTTGCATACTTTAACATGAAAGATTCTCCAAAACTTATCACATAAACCCTCAGGTGTGTGTAAGATTTTAAGATGCATCAGAGATTGAACGTAGTTTTTAGCAAGAGAGCAACGTTAAAAAGATAATGATATTACAGCAACAAAACCTACTGCCACTGAGTCAATTCCAACTCACAGTGACCCTGTAGGTCAGAGTGGAACGGCCCCTTAGGGTTTTCAAGACTGTAAATGGAATAGGAGCAGAGACTCTCAGAGTGGTGGCTTGATTAGAACCACTGACCTTGTGGCTAGGAGTCCAACAGTTAGCCCACTGCATCCACAGAGTTCCCCCTACAGCAGTACCCTAAGAACAATGTTTCTACAGAGCTCACCAAGTGCCTGATGCAGTGCTTATGCATATTATGTCATTCAATCGTCACCACTCTCTTATATGTCTTGATTTGCTTGTCCCATTATCGATGAGAAGAAACAGAGCTGCAGCAAAATAATGTCCCCAAGCTCATGCAGTAAACAACTGATGGCGATGGTATAAACCCAGGGAGTTCAGTTTGGTCCCCTGGTCCATGACTATAAAAATAATAAACTTCACATTTAATGAAAATATACCCTACATCAAGCAGAAAGAAAATGTTTGAAAACGATGATGGCAACATATGTACAACTGATTGCTACAAGAGCTGTAAGATCCCCCAAGAAAATGATGTATTAATACAAATATATATATATACACACACACACATAGAGAAAGGTGCAAACACCTTGTCTGTACAACTTGATGAATTTTCAGATTACCAGACAACCTTGTGGCCACTGCACAGATCAAAAAATCAAATACAGCCAGCATCTTGTACACCTGCTTATGTTTTGACTCAGTAAGTGTCCCCTCCCACACCTAAAAGTCATCCCTCTCCTTCATTCTCACATCATCTATTCATTTGACTGTTTTGATGTTTACATAAACATTCACAATATTTTCTATTATATTTCCAATGTTGTATATATTCATAAGCAAGATTATACTCATAATCTTTGCTGGGATCTAGAATTCAGCACCATGTTTGTGAGCCCCATGCATTGCAGTGGCACATCGATGTTGTATCTATTCATATTGGTCAATGCTTTTATGCCAGTCATCAATTTCCCATATTTACTGACCTACTATTTTTGATAATGGGTATTTGTGTTTTTCCAAAGTTTTTGGCACTACAAGTTATGCTGCCGTTAGTGTTTTTGTTGTTGTTGTTTTTTTAATGTGTATTATGGTGGTACTTCTCTGGTCTGACCTAACAGCCACAACTTGCAGTACATATATATGTGTGTGTGTTTGTTAGGAATATTTCTAGAAGCAGAATTGAAAGGCTGTGGCATATTTGTATGCTCAGCTTCAGTAGATACTGCTCAACACATGTACACAATGATAACACCAATAGAGAGGCCCATGATCAGGGTATGAGCATTCCAGTTACTCCATATCTTTGCCAACCTTTGCTTCCATCAGTTGTTTAAAATTTAGCCAATCTGGGAGCCTGTGTTCTTCATTGTAAAGTGTTCAGTCTCTGAGAATTTTCTAAAAATTTATCACAGATTGAAAAACAATAGAAGAAGCATCAATTGGAGAAGCACTCACAAGTGATCTTTCTAGGTCCCCTGGAATACTTGTCTTTTTATTCCCTCTGACTGTCCTTTCCCACGCAGTCTTTCCTCTAATCTTTCTACCACGAATCCATGTCCGAGTTACTGCTTATCTGTAATTATCATCCATTAATTATTAATTTATAGCATATTATCTGACTGGAACTTATTAATTCTTTGAATGCCTGCGATATGCTTGCCTGGGAAATGTCATGTCAAACAAGGTTTATTAGCACAGTCTAGAAAACTCAATCTACATCAGACAGGTTCTTTTGAATGGAGATGATTGCAAGCTATTTTATTCACCTTGGCAGTGAGACCATCAGGCTTATGCCAGGTAATGGTAAGATTTAAAAGGCTGTCTGTGGTTGTTTTGTGGCCAGACTAAGGCATTTGGGTACCTCAAGAAGGATAATGATTTATTGCCTTCCTCAAACCAACTTTTCCCCCAAATATTTGTGCAATATTCACTGAAGAAGCATCTTAGCGGTGTCCAGAGAAAGGGTTGTAAGGAGGCTCCATGGCTGTAGAATGGCATCCCCTTTCTCACTGTGAGCAGCGCTGCTTGAACCCAACTGGGAGAAAGCTTGCTCCAGGTCACTACGACCAGCATTCTCAGAAAGAGTGCAGAAACATCTCATTGTTATTGGAATATGCACCCTCAGAACCTTCCAACTTATCACAGCATTTCTTCCAAAATAACCTCTATAAAACACATTCTGGCAATTATATTTTCTCAACTTTATATCATTCGCAGAAGTGTTTTACAGCCCGATATAGATTGGTATTCTAGTTGACTGGCTTGATACTTAATGCAACACCGATTAGAGCAGAAGAAGGTGACTCCAGTCATCTTTGAGATAACAGTTGCTCACAGAATTAACATAACAATGACACGGACAAGACAGTGCACAATTCAAGGTAGAGATTCCTCATTGTTGTGATCTACACATCCATGCCCACGCTGTCTGCCCCAATACTACCAGTTTCCACTTGGAACTTATGCCGAAGAAACTGCTGAGAGCCTAACTCCTATGATTCCATCATCACAACAACTCTCCCGTGTGCTGCAGTGATACAGTGGAGAACGCTGGCTCAGGAGCTGGACGTCAGGGTTGCAAGCTTGGTGCCTAGCTTATTAGTGGAGACATCACCCTCATATCTCAAATTAGTGTGTTTTGCTTTTTTATCTGTAAAATGGAGATAATGGCATCAGCAAATGAGGTTAATATAAGGCTTTAATGAGAGGATATTTGTAAGGTTATTGTCACGTAGGAGACGATTGAAGAATAGGCATTATTACTACTATATTGTATAATGTAAGTTCTGCTATTATCCCCATATGTGGAAACTAGAGAGTTGAACGTGAAGACCTCACAACTCATACAGGATAGAGATGGGATCCTCAGCCACATTCTTCCAACTCGGGAGTGTTACCCTTAGCCCATCTGACCAGTGTATCTCAGCGCTTTCAATCAAGGTACTTCCTATATGAATATGGAATGATGTAGATTTAGAATGACCCAAAGGGAGTGGCAATATAGCAGTCCCTGGAGGTCAGATGGGCCATATTTTGTTTATTTCCAGTTTGGGAGCCACTATTTTTGATGGCATCTGGATTTCTAAAATTTCTCTAATCTAATTCAGAGAAAAAACAAAAACAAAACTACAATACAGACACGCGAATAAGGTCCAGGACAATGTTTGGATCAGGTCTAAGACCACTGGCTTAATTAAATCAATAAACATTTAGTAGATGCTCAATATGTACTAGGAATTATAAATTTAAAAAGCCAAGTAACTTATTTTCCTTGACCTTGGGAGGTTCACCACATAATGAGACAGATGCTATATAATCAACTAATCACGACACGGTAGCTCAAGTCTCTAATGAAGTTAACTACATTAGAGTAGTTACAAAGCACAGAAGGAGAAATTCACTTTGCATCTTTCCATGAGTCCAGAACTGAGCACTCATGTATTAGCCTAACATCATGCTCCAATGTCTGAATCATAAGAGAAAGCAGCATGTTCTCCAATCGCTTGCCCCCATGACTCTCCAAGATACCATTAAGCAATGGTCTTTTATAAACGAAATGATATATTAGCTTCTATCATATTTTATATAAGCCCCAAAGGAAAGTAATAATTGGAATATAAGGCACTGAGGTACACCAAAAGACAAAACTTCGAGGAGCTAGGTGTATTTGTCAGCGTTAACCTACACCATCAAGGTGCCTACTTCACTCCTTCACAGGTGAGCAAAATATCCGAACTAGAGCGGCTCCCAGTGCTCACAGGAGCTCTTGGTGCAGCCTCCTGGAGATGATCTCCCTACCTGACATCCGCAGGGTCTTCTGTGACAAGGACGTCAGTCTTGCAGCTGGCCAGGGGGTTGATGGACAGCTCCACAGGTGGCACCACAAAGCTTTTGCTGACAGGCAGCCAGAGTCCTTGGCCCAAGCTGAAAGTAGACCTGCAATGTAAGAGTTTCCATTGGGGGACTCCCTGGGAAGAAAGAAAAAAAAAGAGGGGCCCCCTCTTCCCATTCATTCCAGGACCCTTTTTCATTTTCCCACCCAACTGAGGCCCCTATATTCTTCAAGGCACAGTTTGGGCTACCTTTCCACAGACTTGAATGATATTTCTTAAATGTCTTCACCATCTAACCAACACATTGCGTTTCTTTTCCTGGGTGGAAGATATGGCTCTCCAGTGGTCTCTGTGAGGACAGGGGGTATTTCCCTGTTTTCCCAGGAGTCCTGCTCTCCATCGGGAGTTTCGAAAGTGATGGATAACATGAGAGGGAAGTGTAGCACACAGGTTAAGAGCATGACTCTGAATCCATTTCGACCCTAACCGGACTCTCAGCTCTGTCACGTAATTTGTTGTGTCTCTTTATCTGCGTAAGTACTAGCTTTCCACAATGATTTCTGAGGTGGTGGGAAGAGGTTCAGTGGCTACAAAATAGTTTTAAAACACTGGACTAGATAATCAGTAGTGTTCCTCCTCATTCAAGTGTCTAAGTTGATACGTCTAGATGCCAGACAAATGGGAAGGAGATTCCCATAGCAACCCGAGGCATCATGATTTCTTAGTGCCAATGAGCAGTGCCCAGTTCTCAAAGTATCCCCGAGCCCCACAAGTGTTATGTACTGAAGACACATGGTCACATTTCCTGGTAAGACTTTTCTCTATTCCCCAGCATCGAACCCCAACAGGAATGGTCAACTCACCTGAGAATCTTTTCAGGGGCTTGCTCTCCTGTTACAAGATCATAGCCCCTCTCAAGCGTGGTGTAAGGCCACGGTCTGTCAGGAAGAAAAGAGGGGGAGCGAAGATCTTATTAGTTAGAAGCAGGTGATGTTCATGGACATAACGCTTAAGTATTCAAAAGTAATGAATGGGTCAGATTATTTACATCATAAAAGCATGTCTCTATTTTACAGAGGGACCTGACCGTCCATATGCCCATTTTCAAAGGTCGTGTGGCTGTGTGGAAGTTTCTGCAGCAGAAGTTATCTTTGAAATGGTGACAAAGATTCACCTCTGATACATACACTTGTGGTGCTAACATGTGCCGCTGTGGGAAAGTAGCCATCATGTCATTGAGTCCGGCAGGGGGCACCACTGTTTCAGAGAAAGAGTCCTTTTTGAGAAGAGGTTTCAGGGCTCCAGTAACAAACAGAGGGGGTGGGGGGCTGTGTCTCCTACAGTTCCTGAGCAGCTGCCTCTGCCAACTCACCCTTCACTTTGTCCCCAGTCACTGCGCACACAAAGGTGTCTGTGGACAGGGTCCGGGGCAAATCCCTCGTGGCAACTGCACTCTCCTGGAAGAGAAGAAAATAAAAGAACCCTGTCAAGGGCTGCCTTCTCAAAACAGGCTCCTCCTCATTTTCTTGTGAGAGGAAGAGAGCTGCCTACTTTAGGAAATCCTCTGCAAAGAGTGTTCTTGTGGACATGCAATTGTGGCGACACAGAGTCCATTCATCTCTTCCTGCATTTATTCCACAAACCCAGGATACATGTTACACCATGAGTGCTGTGAGGTGTGTGGACAGAGAGGCCAAAGGCACAGCCAGGACCCTAAAGGAGCCCACCACTTCATAAGAGCCATGGAAGGAACCAGGAAGTCCAATGGACAAATGCAAGTCCAGTGTTCAACAATTTACATCATGATAACCTGTATTTGGACTAAAAGGGAAAGATCAAAGTTCTGAGTACATCTTCAGCGTTCAGAAGGTTGGCAGAGTTTCAGCATCAGAAGTGCTCTGCCCTAACTCCTTACTGTGATCAGTGAGGCTTCCCTGTGCAGACCTTGAGGTTACGGGATATTTTTCAATTCAATTAGTTGATTGCTTTTCCTAAAATGTAGGTATGGTATATTCATGGATGACATTCCAAAAACATATTTTAGAAGACACTATGTTTAAGAACTGCTGTGTCCAGCTGGGGAAGTGCATTTCTCCATGAGGGCCGCGCGTATGCAGTTCTCCCCAGACTGAGCGCACCTTGGCAACCTTGAGGGGAACAATGAACAGGATTCTCAGTCTATGAAACATGTCTTGAGGAAGCCATGTAGGAGATTCCTTGGCTTATCCCACTGAGAAAGCAGAATTAGGTGCTCAACAGGTTTGGGCGAATAATTAACTGTCCAAACCCAAAACCAAACCTAGTGTCATTGAGTCAATTCCAACACAGGACAACCGGATCCAAGGCTTCCCAGGCTGTCAATCTTTACGAAAGCAGATAGTGTCACCGGTCAGGGATTTGCAATATTTCCAGACTTAGCTGTTGAAATGCCTCCTCTCCATCTGATGGTGAACACACACAGACACACAGACACACACAGACACACACACACACACACACACACACACACACACACACACACACGGGAAGAGAGAGAGAGCAGTGATCCTGCAGCCTTCTAATTCTACAGTGATTCTGAGTAATTTCACCCCAAGTTTTCCAACTATGCTCCATGGATATATATGCTTCATCAATGGAGGAGATTTATGGGACTTAGAAACATAGATTTAAACTTTCATTTAAAAGTTTTATTTTACAGTCTTTCAAAATAAGAATGAAAGATACTTGGATGGCACATGCAAGAATTGAGCTCCATCCTGCTAACTCAGGTTGCCAGGTACACTTACGTTGAGTTAGCCTCCAAAAGCCAACAAAATGAGTAACTACCGTCAACTCAGTTTCACTGAAGAGAAAACTGAGACCTGTGAGCCAAGCTGCTAACAACCTCATGTTCTCTGCAACTACCTATCTTGTGAATCAGGATTTTCTCAACAGTGTGCCCCAAACAGAACGTAGCAGTAAAAAGGAGACTAGGGTACCAGGCTCTACACGTATGATCATAACTCCTGATGTCAACATGCCTGTATTCATGAGGGACTGCCTGTGTGTTCCAAACGGGTAATATACACAGCTACTAACTAAATAGCCAGAGGTTCAAGTTCACCTACAGGCTCCTTAGATGCGAGGGTTCTGAAAACATCATCATTGGAAGCCCTGAGGAGCACAGGTGTACTATGACACACAAGGTCATCACAGTTGGAATTGACTCAACAGCAACAGGTATTGATTGATACTGATCTTCATCAACAGACATTACTCTTCTCACTAAATGGCAACGTGATGTAGTTGAACTTATACTACACATGTGGAGTGCTACATCAAACAAACAAACAAACAACTCTAATTTGTTTTATAGACTGCCATTCTTGTTATGCTTTGTAGCCTTAGCATTACATAGCATCAGGCAAAAAGACAGAATAAGCTCAATAAATGTTGGTGCAACAGAAATGTCAGTAAGAGAGTATGGAATACAGAAAGGGTCAGACATAGAACTCAAAGTCTTCCAAATAAGGATGTTGAGAGACTAGAGGAGGGGAAGGAAGAGAGAGAGGTGTCTACCTCTCCTCATCAGGAGGTACCTGACACTTCCCAGGGGGACTGCTTACCACTGGGGGGTCTCTCTAACCTTCCATCTTACTGCCTTGTTGGGGGTCTTCCACGGCAGGGGCGTGCTATAACTAAGTGTACCCTCGTGAACGGCTAGTTGCTGGAGGGGACAGGGCTGGGGGAAAGGTCTGAGACCCTTGAGATTTCCATGGGAATAATTTTCCAAAGGGAGGAGAGTGTGGGAGGCACTAATGATGTGTTAAAATGCAACAGTCCCTTCATGAAATATTCACCACTTTAAACACGTCTAACATTAAAGATGAAAAGTCCTGGGATTTGTCCCTGAGACTCCGAGGACTGATTTATGATCTGCCACGAGCCACAGGCCTTGTGATTCATAACGGCCGAGGTAAAGTGGTTACATCTGGCCAAGGGACAAGACGTCAGGCTAGCGGGGAGGTGGGCCGGGGAAGGTGGCTCCTTCTTCTTTAGGTGAAGGGCACAGAATGAGGCCCCTCTCTCTTCTATCCGGGACTGGAGGAAAGGGCACAGTTGCCCCTCACCCTCCTTCTTTTTGACAATGAGAAATGAATTCAGAAAAGGGGGTGTTGCTGTATTTTTCTCTTTCTTCCTCATGTGCTTACCAGGCAATTTCTCTCTACCTCAAAATGGATCATTAATTACTGACACGCATTATGCTGCAAATATATATTTTGCAAATTAGAAGCACCCACCCTGGGGCCGCCTAGTGCTGCCTGGAGAACAGGAGATGAGGAAGAGGGACAGCGCCTGCCATTCTGGAAGCAGGCAGAGCTGGGTTCCAATCCCCTCTTTCCTACTCCATACCTGTCTGATATTAGGGAAGTTATTTCACCTCTTGGGTCCCTAATCTGTAGAATGGAAATAATAACAACCTTTCTCAAAGAGCTCTTGGAAGAGTAAGTCGATGCTCAGTAAATTGTTTCCCTCCCCTTAGCTTTTCATTCCCACTTAGCCACTGGGTTCTGGTAGAAACACACCGAACAACTCTAGGGACAGTGAGCAAGTCAGTCGCCTTCACCTCTCTGAGCCTTCCTTCCTCATTTGCAAAGTAGGATGTGGGAGTAGATAGATGCTCCTCAGCTCTAGGAGCCAAGAGCCAGCGAGCACCTGCTACGCTGTCAGTACTCCCTTACACATTCCGGACCCTTGTTCTTGGGACACCATTTGTTTCCGCCTCAGCTGTGATTACTCTTAGCAGGTGGTCTGGGTTGTCTCTGGCAAGATCTCCATCAATGCCATGGCTATTGGCTTTATTGACTCCTGTGTACCATTTTGCCTGCTCAGCAAACTCTCAACTATTTGCAACAAAGCATTTCCTTCTGTGAAACGTGAAACTTCTGCCAACCAGGGCTGAAGATTAACCCTTTCTCTGGGTGAATCCTTCCCTCAGCCCTGCTTCTGCACACCCAGGGAAGCTAGGCTATCCAAGAAGGGCCGCTTAGGGACACACGTGGACATGGTTTCCACTTACTGTGAACATCTTTGCTCTGCCACTACAAGCTCTGTGGCAGTGGAAGCGGCTTGACGAGGGCGTTTTCACCCTTGCTCACCCCGCACCCAGCACCTCGTTGGACTGCCTGATGCATTGTGGGTATTCAGTACATAAACGTTTGAAGGACATAAATGAAGATCGGTGCTTTCCTGTAGTAATGGCCACGCCAATGGGAGAAGGGCATTTCAATAACACGCCTCTGTTCTCCCCACTGACCTGAAATGATCTTGATTACAGCACCCTCATCTTCACCACATTTGTCTGCCAATAATTATTATAATGCTCGTTACAAGATAGGCAACTCAACTGCTGAATGAGTGAGAGAAGCTATGGTGTTTGTCATGAATTACAGACTGGAGTGCCCTTAGAATACTGCCCACCACGTGCATTTGCTGGGGAAACCGAGTGTCAATATGAGTGGCGATGGAATGTCGAAAATAGAATTCTGTATTACGGCAGAGAGGAAAAGGCCCTGGCGGTCATCTAGCTCAGATCTTTTCAGCGCATGTTTGTTTCGTTTCTCAAGTCAAGCTCAGAGAGTGAAGGGATTTGGCCACAATCATTGAGCAAGCTTCTGGGCCAGCCCAGGCCCAGAACCAGAACCCAAGGCTTCTGCTTTCCTGGCCTTTCTGCTGCACTGCTGACCCAGTTTTCAGCACCCAACAGTTTCCGAGGACAATTTTCTTTTTTCTTTGCGCTCCTCTGACATCTCTGCATTCCGATAATGAGAATGCATTATACTAATAGGCAGGATTTTTTACAAGTAAAATGAATTGGAATTACCTTTAAGCAGATTAAAATTTACATTTAAATGTAATTGACAATAAATACAGACTTAAAAAAAAAGATCGCAATCTCTTCACTACAGTGGTTCCCATAAGGGAATTCAATTGAATGGCTCTTTGTTGTGCTAGTTACTAGAACACTGTATTTTTGTCGATAGATGAGTTGCACTGCTTTTACAATATTTACTATTTCTGTCTCCTAGGTCCTACTTATTGAGTTCTCATTTTATGTTATATACAGGCTTGCTCCATAAACTCTTGGGTAAAAACAGAAGAACCTCTGGATTACAAACAATCTGAATTTACCTGAATTTATGACGCTCTCCCACAGCGCGTCTAAGTGGACTGGGCATTCCCTATTATTATGTAAAGCAAATGGAAGGATGACATTGTCCAGCGTGTGGGCCAAAGAGTCACCCTGTTGATTTTGGCTTCAAACAGTGTGCCTGCTGCCAGACTTTGAATGAATTCGATTAAGTGACTTTACCTCTCTGAACCTGTTTCCTTGTCTGTATTGCTATTCTCAGTTGTTGATAAATCAACTCTCACTCTTCCTCCTCCTCCTCTAGTCTCTCAACATCCTTATTCTGAA